AGGGCTGAGCTGGCAAGGAGGTTCCAGTGGCAGTTGAGGGCCATGGAGAGGCGGCAAGTCGGACACAGACAGTCTCTGTGTCTGTGTGACACTGCCGCGTGGCATCTTGATTGTTGAGGTGACCTGAGGTGGTCCCTGTGGCTGGCTGTGGGTCACCTGTGGGAAGCAGGGGTAGGAGTGGGATGGAGGTGGCTGTGTGAGCGCGGTGTCTCCCACGTGTCAGCAAGCCCAGGGCAGGTGCTGGCCACAGCAGCCAGGCTGGGCTGGGTTCCCAGCTGTGCTCATTGCCTCAGGGTCATTGCTGTGCCTGAGCCATCCCATCATTGGCTCCCTTGCAGAGCGTGGCCTGGTGCCAGGCCTGGCTGTCTGTGCCCCAGGGCTTCCCCCACCTCCCACTGCAGCCTCTCCCTCCATCCCCAGCCCTCACCTTTTGCTGCTTGGATAGCAGTGACTGCCCCTCATGGGGCTGGTCATGGGCATTTGCCTCCTCTTTCTTCCACATTGTGGGAGTGCTCTGACGAACACTGGCCACAATCACCCAGGGGAGCTGCTTCCTCCAGAGAAGCTGCTGCCTCCTCAGAGAGCTGCTCTCCTGGGAGTGGCCACTGCAGGGATTTGTTGCCCCCACAGTCACGACACGAACTCACGTCACAATGGCCTCTGGGCACGATGTCACCGCGGGTCACAAAGGCCTGGTGGGCACGGCCGCCCTGTGTTCCAGGGGCCAGGTGGTTTCCATGCAGCCAAGCCTCATCACAAAGGCCTTTTTTAGGCCTTTGTCCCTCTCTTTCCCTATGCTAGTTCTTCTTCCAATGACTTGCAGTTCTCGTTTCTCCCACCTTGTGTTCCTCCCCTAAACATCCCAAAAGAAGCCTTTTGCTGGTGGCCAACAGTTTTATTACCCATCCAGCCAAGCATGTGTCCCAGCATTTGGCCCCAACACCAGATAAAAAGGATCATCAGAAGGCAAAAAATAATTGAATTTAATCTGGCCACTACTGTAAAAGACAATAAAAAGTCTTTATTAGAAGAGATTAGGAACACAGGAGTGCCAAAGAAAAATCTACTCTTTATTTGATGTGAGGGTGAGGGGAACATGATCACAAGGGACGAGGAAAAGGCTGAGGTACAGAATGCCTTGTTTGCCTCAGCTTTCAGGAGTCAGATGGGTTATCTGGAGGACAAGCAGTCCCCTGAGCTGGCACACAGGGACAGGGAGCAGACCTGACCCCCTGCAATCCCAGTGTAAGTCATTGGTGACCTACAGAGCTGCTAAGACCCTGACAAGTCTATGGGGCCCAGAGTCCCCCAGGGGTGCTGAGGGAGCCCATGGAAGAGCTTGCCAAGCAACTCTCCCATCCTTTATTGTCATCATTCCTGGCCAGTCAGGGAGGTCCCAGGTGACTGGAGGTGCCAATGGGACACCCAGGCCCAAGAAGGGCTGCAGGGAGGATGTGAGGAACTGCAGGCCTGTCAGCCTGACCTCGGGGCCTGGTGAGGTTCTGGAGCAGATCATCGTGAGGGGGATCACATGGCCCAGAGAGGACAACTGAGGGATCAGGCCCGGCCTGATTTAGCGTTTAGGAAAGGCGGGTCCTGCCTGAGCAACCTGATGTCCTTTGCGCTGAGGATGATGCGCCTCAGGGCTGTGGGAAAAGCTGTGTATGGAGTCTCTCTGGACTTGAGCCAAGCGTTAGACTCTGTATCCCACAGCAGAGTCCTGGAAAAGCCGACAGCCCAGGGCTTGGGCAGGGGCCCTCTTTGCTGGGTTAAGAACTGTCAGGATGGCCATGTCCAGAGAGTGGTGGGGAATGGTGCTGTATTGAATTAGCATCCAGTCAGTAGTGGTGGCCCCCGTGGCCAGTCCTGTTCAATGTCTGTCCTGCTGATGTGGCCAAGGACATTGAGGGTATCCTCAGGAGGAAATTTGTGATGACACCAAGGTGGGTGGGAGTGTTGATGTGCTGGAGGGTAGGAAGGATCTTCAGGGGCATGTGGACAGGCTGGATTGATGGTGTATGACCAGTGGGGTGAGGTTCCAGAAGAGCCAGGCCTGGGTCCTGCCCTTGTGTCCCAAGAATCCCCTCAGTGCCCCAGGCTGGGGGCAGAGTGGCTGGAAAGCTGCCTGGCAGGAAAGGCCATGGGGGTGCTCGCCAACAGGGGCCAAACATGAAGCCAGCATTTGCCCAGGTGGGCAAGGAGGCCGGTGGCCTCCTGGCCTTCTGTGTCAGCAGCAGTGTGGCCAGCAGGACCAGGGCAGTGATTGTCCCTCTGTGCTGGGCACTGGGGAGCCTACACATTATATTCTCTATTGTCATGGTTTTTAAGCATTAACTAAAAAAATTACTGAAAAACTTACTTATTTCTTGCTGTGAGATATGGATTAGAACAAGAACAAAACAGGCTTAAAATTTAAAAGGAATAGAGAAAGTTTATTAACAAAACTACAAGAATAAGAACACCAGAATAAACTTCCAGAAAACTCTTTTATCCCCCACTACCCAACCATTCCCTTGCTCACATGACAATATAGAGACAGAAAAGTTTGGAACTTTGGTGTTTAAAACAGTCCCAATTCCTGCTAGTCTTTTCATCAGTCTTTGTAGAGAAACAGAAGTCTTCTTCTGCTAATCTATGGAGTTTCTCACAAGAAAGCTATTTCTGTTATAGCTCTCTATTTTTCTGATGCCAGCTGCCCGGAAATCTGTCATCAGTTCACTCCTCCCATTTCACATCACTATGAGGTGTGTATGGGTCAATGAATCTAGGGATGTCATTTTTAAGGACGAGTTATTCAAAGGCAAAAGTTCTCTTCATCTGTCTCTGTGAGCTTCTCTGGAAACAGAAGTTTTCTCTTTGCCTCTACAATGGCCCTAAATCTTCAACTATTACTTCTCCCCCCTCTGTTCCAGCACCTCACTGTATCACAACTACTCCACCTTTTGCTCAAAATCCACACTTTGAACACGCCATTCCTCCCAATATACTCTGTCATGAATTAAAGGAGTTTTTTCAGATCACTATTGTCCATCTCCATAGCTTTAACAGAAAAATATTTCAGATTATAAAGCATCTCCTTATTCTCTACCTTTTCTGAAGTTTAATTCTTTTCTTTACTGTCTCTAATAGTTTATAAAGTCTCTATACATGTTGATTACTCTCTTTTTCTTTCTCTGGAAAAAAGGATTCATCTGCAAGTCTCATCTGGGTAATGAAAAGGTTAAAATCTTGCCCAGGCTTTGTAGATAGTTCTGTGACTTCTGCTGGAGCAGCAGCTGGAGTTGTCTGTGGTGGAAGGTTCTTCATAGCTGCTCTAGAGAGTGTGGTCACTGTCTCAGCCTGCCGCAGGTCAAGAGCTTTTTCCTTTCTTTACTCGGCAGTCTCTGGTGAATTCAGTCCCAGCAAAAACTGCAGCCGAGCCAGGGACTGGCCTGGCCTGGCCAGAGCCCCGGGCAAGCCCCACAGGCCCCATCTCCCAGCCCAGCCCCCGCCTGGGCCACATGGCCTGGAAACAAAGAGACAAAGAAATTCCCAGGCTTAGGTCTTAAGGTGATGTTCACAGGTTGATCTCACTTTTCAATGGTTAAAACTGCTGTCAATTCTTAGAAATGGCCAGCTGTTGGCTAGGAGAAAAAGTCCCATCAGCCGCCAGTAGTTTTAACTTCCTTAGGTGTTTTTCTTTGTTTTCTTAAATGCCAGTCTGTCACATCTATGCAGTTCTGGGCCCCTCATTTCAGTAAGGATGTTGAGGTTCTGGAGTAGTTCCAGAGAAGAGAACAGATACAGTGAAATGTCTGGAACCCAACTCCTGTGAAAACTGAGGGTGCTAGTTTTGGTCATCTTGGAGAAAGGGACCCTTATGGGCCATTTTATTGCTCAATAAGTGCCTAACAGGAGGATGTATCCACATGGAGTTCAGTCTCTTCTCTGAGACAGCTAGTGATAGGACAAGAGGACGTAGTCTCAGGCTGTGCCAGGGAGGTTTATTTTTAACACTATGAAGAATTTCCTCATAGAAGGGATAATTAAATCTTGGAATGGGCTGCCTTGGGAACTGGTGAAGTCACTGTCCCTGGAGGTGTTTAAGGAACGACTGGACATGTTACTCAGTGCCATGGTTTACTTGACATGGTGGTGTTCAGTCAAAGGCTGGACTTCATGATCTCAGAGGTCTTTTCCAGTTCAAATTATTTTGTGATCGTTTTGAGTCCATTTACATTCCTGTTTTAGGCAGAGCAAGCAGCCCGGTGTGTGCCGTGCATGATTATATGGCACCTGCTGAGCCCTTTATGGAGGGCTCAGTTTGCACATCATAGAATCAACAGAGTGTTTTGGGTTAAAGGGACCTTGATGATCATCCAGTTTCAACCACCCACCCACCATAAGCAAGGATGCCACCCACTAGAGGAGGTCACTCCAAAGTCCACCCAACTTGCCTTGAACACTTCCAGGGGTGGGGCACCCACAGTTTCTCATGGCAGTGTGTTCCAGTGCCTTGCCACCCTCACAGTAAAGAATTTCCTCCTAACATCTAATCTAAATCTCTCCTCTTTTAGTTTAAGACAGTTTCCCCTTGTCCTATAAGCATCTGATCCCTTGACTGTGGATGTCTAGTCTCATCACTGTGATTCTGACTCTTTAGGGAGAACCTCCATCTCTAGAGACTTTGAGGAGACTCATCCAAGAGGAGTTATCCAAGCAGCTAGATGGTAAGTAGTTGGTATCAGGAAGCCAGAAGATGGATCTGAGAGTATGGAAGGATGCTTTCCTTCCCATAGCTGTGCTGGCACCTGAACCTTTCATGCTTAAGAAAGGTAGTATTGCAGCAAGCTTGCTTGGAAGATGTGTGAAATGAAATGTGGTTTACAGTTCCCCAGGCTTCGATGTTCCCAGCAATAGCACAGAAAGTAATCAGAGTAGATTGTAAACTTCTAAGGTCCCAGCTGGAGACGAAATGTTCCTGATTTTTGCCAGTGACTTGATACTCATCAGTATAAGAAGAGGGGCTGGAGAGGATATGGGCTGCTGTTTCTCTCAAAGTATGTGAATTGCAGACCACTACTGATCCCATTGATAGTGAAATGCAGAGCTGTAGTCCTCACACAGCTCTTGATGCAGCTGACACACAGCTGCAGGCATTTTGTTCTGTGCTAAAGATCACAGGTAAATGGGGGGATTATTTCACAGATTTTATGTACACACTCTCAGTCTTCAATATCCACACCAGTCTGAAAGCACTTAAGATAAATGAAGAGAAGATAGAACACTCCCCTCTCTCTATTCTGTTGGATGTTTATGTGATGCTGAGTTTTATGAGCTCTCAAGGTTGTCATGGTGTAACCCCAGTCAGCAGCCAAGGCCCACGCAGCCGTTCACTCACTCCCCCACCAGCAGGATCAGGGAGAGAATCAGAAGAGTAAAAGCTGGAAAACTCATGGGTGGAGGTAAAGACTGTTTAATAGGGAAAGCAAAAGCTGTGGCCAGAAGCAAACCAAAGCAAGGAATTAATTCTCTGCTTCCCATGGGCAGGCAGGTGTTCTGCCAGCTCCAGGAGAGTAGGGCCCCATCACAGTAATGGTTGGGAAGACAAACACCATCACTGCAGATGTTCCCCCCTTCCTCCCCTCACTTTATATATGATGAGTTTATATGAGCATGATGCCATGTGGTGTGGAATATCCCTTTGGTCAGTTTGGGTCACCTGTTCTGGCTGTGTCTCTTCCCAACCTTCCCCACACCCCCAATTTCCTTCCCAGTGTGGCCGTACAGAAAGCAGAAAAGGCCTTGGCTCTGTGCAGGCCCTGCTCAGCAATAACAAAAACATCTCTGTATTATCAACATAAATCCAAAACAAGCCCCCTACCAGCCCCTGGGAAGCAAATTAACTCCACCCCAGCCAAAAACAGCATGGTTGTTCAGGGTCTTAGCACTGAAATGGCAGGCAGTGTGTGCCTGCCTGGAACAGCCTGGAACAAGAAAAGCTTTCTCCCTATACAGCAGCCATGTGGCATCTCTGCATAACAGAAGCAGTAGGAAAAGGCTCTCCTTCTCAGAGCAGCAGTGGCCCCAGTTTAATAGGGATCCATCAGCTGCACAACTAAAGGAAGGGACATTTCAGATTCTTGGAGTATAAGGAGCAGATGAGTGAAAAGTTTATGATAAAGTATGAAATTTAGGAGAAATTTAAGGCTACCAAGAAATGAGATTTAAATAATTTATAAAGGATCAGGGAGTCACAGTCATGGATTATGGGGGAACAAAAAATGGGTGGTCCTGGAAAATTCAGCTGTGACAGTACTTGGACTTTACTGGGCCCCTGTTTCTGGCTCTCCATCTCTTGGAGCATAGTCCTTCTAGTATAACAAATCCATTTCCCTCTCTTCACAGCAAAGTTACCCTATATCCTGGCTCAGATACAGCCTGCACAGGTAAAAGCATCCCATGGCAGACCAGGACCTCCTGGTCCCCCTGGGAAGGAAGGACTCCCAGGAAGAACTGGCCCTCCGGGAGAGCCTGGGCGGCCTGGACAGACAGGGTCTGAAGGGCCACCTGGACCAACTGGTCCCAAAGGTAAGTGAACTTGGTGTGTTGGGGCAGTCCAATAAAAGGATGTGTCCACTCCACTTTGGCATCTACCTTTCCTTTTACTAGTTTATAAATTGTCCTCAAAATGCAGGTATTGGAAGCAACCTCAGTCTGTTGAACCAGAGGTGTTGAGTATGACCAGCAATTGCTGGTGTGTTTCAGCTCTGGCCAGAACAAGAGTGGGGCAAGTCTTCATTCTCACTTGATGTCCACTCTCAGAGCATTGGCCACAATTAGGAACTGTTTTTACCAAATATATTGGCTTCAGTGTGAATGGAAGACCTATAACAGTGTTTATTTCCATAGATCACACTCATCAGTTCATATTTTTTCTTTCCTTCTCTAAAGGAGAAAGAGGAGCAAAGGGTGAGAAAGGAGACACTGGCGTTGGTCAACGAGGGGAAATGGGTCCTCCAGGAATTCCAGGTGTGTTACTCGGAACACTCCACAAAACACATCACTTAGAACAACTACCAGGACGCAGGTCTCTGCTGTACTAGAGAGGTGATCAGGATGACATAAAAATAACGTACACGATTTCTGTAGGATGTGGCCCAAAGGGCAGAACTATATCACTAACATCATATCTGGCCACCTTTATTTCCTCAGCCTGATGAATGAATACACTGAGCCATCTCAGTTACAGCTAAGTTAACTGACCTTTGGGTCAAATCCAAAGTGAAGCTTTAATTATTAGATGCACTGTGAAGTGTTTTCTCTGTCCTTGGCAGAATCTTCCGGTGACCAAGCTGAACCCAGAGCTTCAGGCATCTTCAGATGTTATAAAAGGTCATATTGAACACATGTGCCTTGGGGATACAGCTTCTGCTTTACTGTTACTGACAAAGCAGGAGCAAATACAGTTTGTCTGCAGTCTGAAATTAGGAACCATTGATCAGTTTTGCCTCCACTGCTTTCTTGGGAAAAGAACTATGGGAAACCCTCATAACCCCATAGTCTGCATTCAGCAGACTGGCCTTGCATTGCCTTCAAATAACAATGTGCCCACTATGCTCTGCAGCAGTGAGTTACCTCCCTAGGCTGGCTCTTGCCTCCACTTTCCCATTCTCACCTCCTGTCTGTCAGAGCTGTATGTCATTAGTTGTCTCATGCAGCTCCACGACTTCAGCATGGAGGTAGAGGAAGTGCAGCCATATCAAAGCTGAGCATCCCAAGGTTGCCATAGGGAGTGGAAATCTTAATTTCAGATGAGACACTCTAGTTATAACCTCAAGATGCATCCTAGCACATCCAAACCTGTGGAAGCTGCTGTCTACACCCAAGTTTGGCAGCAAAGCCATCTCCTGTTACACTGCAGAGTACTGCACGCTGGGCATGTTACTCTGGTGCCACTCACCAAGGGCATTTTGTTTCTATTTCAGGCCTCCCAGGGGAGCCTGGTTATGCCAAAGATGGGATGCCAGGACCTCCTGGCCCTCAAGGTGAAGCCGGTGTGCCAGGTCTGGCAGGTCCCCAGGGACCCCCGGGAGCCAATGGACAGTGTGACCCCTCTCAGTGCGCTTACTATGCGAGCCTGGCTGCGCGGCCCTCCAATGTCAAAGGGCCATAGCGTGCAGGGAGCACCCCCAGACTTGTTTTGAAAACTTGAATTCCTCACACCTGCCAAGAGCTCTCTAATGTCCTCAGCTGTGTTTCTTTTGCAGGAGGCCTTCTAAAGCCAACAAATGCTGCCGGTCGGTCAGATTATTTTTATGAATTATAATTATTATTATTATTATTATCTTTGATGTGATATGTGAACTTATTTTTATGTTTGTTTTCTCTAACATCAGGGCATATTAAAATGTTAAAAATAAGTGGGATTTTTTTCCTCTTTTGAAGAGCATATAATAGCAATGCGTTGTGTGACTGTTTATGCAAAACCATTCCAATGCCAAATTTTTAATCTGTTACCTGATTAATTCTTTACAAAGCTTTATCCCTCACCTTTTCAACTGAAATCAAATCCTGCAGCCTGGGGCATTAACTGTGACACACAGGCACAGGATTGTTGGTGCTATTTGACATTCACTTGGAGGGGAGGAAGATAAAGTCATACCAAAGCTAGAAAAGGTATCTCTAGTACATCCAACTCCCAATGGAGAATTTTGAACAACTAGTGTGTGTTTTCCAGAATATCCCTGTTAAATTTAATATTCTTCTGCTGATAACTGAATCAATATTCTTTAGGAACTACTTTTTCATGGAGTCATGTGGAATTTCATAATAAAGGCCTGAAGGGATGACACAGAAGATCTAAGATCTCCCTGTATTTGAGAGTTTTGTTCCAAGAAATGGAGCTTACTTACCTCTGTCAGGGATATGCCTTTTCAAGGTTATCCTCTGTCAGGTCAAGGATGCCAAATCCCCTGTCACCACATGCACAGCTCCCTACCACTGCTTCACCCAAAAATCAGCCAGAGCAGCATAGAAAGTCCCCTGGTATTAAAAACTCAGGAAGGCAACTGTGGCCCAAATCACCATTTTGGTTGATCCATTAGGACAATAACTTAGCAAGCTGTTTTACTTAGGGGGCTGGTGCATAGTGCAGGCTGGTCTAGGAGGATGTTGATCTTTGATGAAAGGATCAGAGCACAGAGATGTTCAGAATCATGGGGGAAAATTGTGTTTGACGGTGAAAGCAACAAGCCAGAAACTGGCTATTTCTCCTTATCAGCTAATTGCCAAAATCAACTTTAGAATGCAAAGACAAAGTAAAAAGGGGATGGAGTCTGAAAAGACCTTCACAATAGGTCATGTGTGACCCAAACCCTCTGACCAAGCCATGCCACTCATTGTGAGCAGATCTGAGAAGTGATCAGGCCTTGGATATATGCCAGCCAGCAAAGCAGCTGCATTGTCAAACCTCTTCTGCACAAAGCAGTTTGTAGTGAGAGATGGGAGTAATGGACCTGACACAGGCACTAAGTGCTGAATGTGTTTGGGAATCTCATCTGTTCTTTTGGAGACAGAAAAGAGGCACCCTGCCCTGCTAACACATTCACCATATGGCATGGTGCTTCCAAACTGGCCAGCCCAAGCAGAAGCCACAGCTGTAGCTAACCAGCCCAGAATCAGACCCTGAGGCTAAAGCCCAGAGATAAGCATTTGCCAACCTTGAAGTCTTTTCTCACCCAGGAACAGATAAAATTTGTCTCTGCTTTATTGAAAAATTAAATTAAATAACAAGTATAAATGCCAGGGTTAAACAAAGTCTTTACTGTGTAGCTCTCAATGGTGCTATTTTTGCTATTTCCTATGCAAATAAACTCTTTGATTTGATTTTACTGTGTTTCTTGCTATGCAAAGACCAATCAAAGTGAAAATACCATGAAGTGAAAAGCTCACCACTTTTAAGTAACTCTCGATGGTGTATGTGTTACTCTGCTGCTTCTTGGGTTAGTTTGCTGGATTTGAGTATTACGAAAATGGGTTGATCACACATTTAACAGAAACATTTTTCTTAGTCCAGGCTGAGATTTCATCCCTCCAGTGATGAGGCAGAGCAGGGTCCCTATTTGAGAGCACCTCCTAACATGGGATGAGACATTGTTTTGGGTAAATGTGGTGGTAATGAAAAAGTATTATGGAAGTCAAACATGTTAGCTGGGCCATGCAAATGTGACATTTAATTCCTGTCATGATGGTGATTCCTTTGTCTCTACAGGTTCGCTCTCATCTTGTGTCTGATGTGCCATGCGTGTCACAGAATTCAGGACATTCTAGTGCACCATGAGAAGGGAATATACATAAAGCTGTTCTTTTAAACAAAATTCAGGGTCTTAAGCTCCTGTGAGGTCATAGAATCATAGAATAATTTGGGTTGGAAGGGAATTCTAAGGGTCATCTAGTGCAATCCACAGTATGTGAGGTGGTGCAGTAGCATCCAGTTGAAGGAGATGAAAGGGTTTTATTTGATAACACTTTTAATTTGAACAGGAGCCATTTCCAAGAGTCTGTGTGAGGAACACAAGGGACATACATGCATCTTTAGTAGTGGTTTAGATTTCCCAGCCAATACACCAAATAAATGTTGTGGTTTTAAAGCAGCAACTAAAAAAAAAAAATCACTAGAAAACTTACTTATTTCTTGCTGTGAGATATGGATTAGAACAAGAGCAAAACAGGTTTAAAACTTAAAAGGATCAAAGAAAGTTTATTAATAAAAACTACAAGAATAAGAAACCAGAATAAAACCTCCAGAACAACCCTTTTCTCCCCCACTACCCAACCATTCCCTTGTTCACATGACAACATAGAGACAAAAAAACTTTGGTGGTTAAAACAGTCTCAATTTTTGCTATAACCTTTTCATCAGTCTTTGTACAGAAACAGAAATCTTCTTCTGCTAATTTATGGAGTTTTTCACAAGAAAGTTGTTTTTCTTCATAGCTTTCTATTTCTCTGATGCCAGCTGCCTGGAAATTCTGCCATCAGATCGTTGTCTCCTCCCATTTCACATTGTTAGCGTTCAGGAACAGACATAACCACGAATGGTTATATGAAGGTGCTTTATTTAAAGAGCTCTGGGTGTCAGGGGTACACGTACCCAAATCTGACCCGATTTGGGTTTTCGAGTTGAACATATTTTATACTCTATCGTTATGCAACTTACATATTAATTATTAAACTTACATTGTTCTATTGTATGCATTGTTTTTACCTAAGCATGAATTTCTTGTGATCCCCCCTTAGCCCCTTAACATGGTTTCCCATGTTCTCTAAACAATAATTATATCTAATCACATCTAACAATTGTATCATTTATCATATACTGAATACACAGGTGCAGCTTGACCTGGTCTTTAGCAAGCACAAGGCCTAACATTTCCAGGGCCTGCTTTTCCCAGGGCTTTCCAAACCTAACTTTCTTTCTAAGTCCCTGAATTTTCTAAGATTTTAAGGCCTTTTACTATCAACATCACTCTGAGGTGTGTTATGGGTCAATGAGTCTAGCGATGTCATTTTTAAGGCTGAGTTATTCAAAGGCAAAAGTTCTCTTCATCTGTCTCTGTGAGCCTCCCTGGAAACAGAAGTTTTCTTTTTGCCTCTTAAAGGCCACAAATCTTCAACTATTACTTCTCTCCCTCTGTTCCAGCACCTCACTGCATCACAACCACTTCACCATTTGCTCAAAATCCACACTTTGAACACTCCATTCCTCCCATTATTCTCTGTCATGAATTAAAGGAGTTTTTTTCAGAACATTACTGTCCATCTCTATAGCTTTAACAGAAAAACAGTTCAGCTTATTAAAGCATCTCCTTTCTCTAGTTCCTCTGAGGCTTAATTCCTTTCTTTGCTGTCTTTGATAATTCATAGGGTCTCTTTTACATGTTGATCACTCTCTGTCTCTCTGGAAAAAAAGGATTAATCTGCAAGTTTCATTTGGGTAATGAAAGGGTTAAAATCTTGCCCAGGCCCTGTAGCTGGTTCTGTTATCTCTGCTGGAATGGCGGCTGGAGCTATCTGCGATGACTTCTCTCTTTACTCAGCAGTCTCTGATAAAAACTCAGCAGCAGCAGGAACTGCAGCCGAGCCGGGGGAACCGGCCTGACCCGGCCTGGGCCCGCCCGCCTCCCCCCTCACCTTCCGCGGCCTTGTCCGGCCTGGGCGGGAGGAGGAGGCCGAGCCAGACCCTGTTACCTCTTCAAAGGCTGGAAACCAAAGAGGACAAGAAATTCCTGGACTTACATCCTAAAGTAGGTGTTCACAGGTTGATCTTACTTTTCAATGGTTAAAACTGCTGTCATTTCTCAGAAATGGCTAGTAATTGGTCAGGAGAAAAAACTCCCATCAGCCTCCAGCAGTTTCAACTTCCCCCAGCTCTCAAAGCTAATCTTAATGGTGCAGAATTCAATATATATATAAAGCAGGAGATTGGGAATACCAGTATCATAAAGTCACCCCAGGACAAACAGCAATTGAAAAATGTGCATGATTTAGACATAGACTGCATCTCTGAGCATTTTCCACCCGTAAAAGGGGATGCAGCCTAATTCCCTTTGTTCCAGCATATTCCCTAGCATATGGCTATCTGTTCAGTCTGTTCCCAGAGACACCCCAGACTGTCTCTGTGCCCTGAATTCAGTGGGTGCCATTTCTGCTTTTTCTTACACCTTGTTTTCTCTCCAGCCAGCTAAATGACATTTACCAGTCAGAATCTGTCCTTAGTGAGCAGAGTACAAGTCGTTAGTGACAGAATACTCTGGTCTGCAGACCCAGATCAAGACCTGTGTTTGTACTCACCCAGATTTTAGTCATCAAAGGGAGGTTTCCACAGCTGCCACCTCTTGCGGAAGCAAGCCCTACAGGAATGTGCCTCAAAGGACACCTGCAATAACAGGTAAGAAAGGAGGGTGTATTTGGAGGATTTTAAAAACTGCCACAGTCTTTGCTTCAGTCTGTTTGTCTTTGGAAAAAGTCTTTCAGTCTTTGGAAGAGTAGCCTGAGATTACTTTCCAAAGTAGGTCTGCCATCTGGGAAGCCAGTAAACCTACAGGTACAGCCCTGGGCATGGTCAGAAGCTGCCCTCCAGAAAATGCAGATGCCTCTGTGCCTGAGCAGGTGACCGTGTGTGAGTATTGTCTGTCCAGCACTGTGCACGGTGAACACACAGGCAGGAGCTGGCAGGTAGGGCAGGACACTGCTGGTGGCTCTTTCCTTACCACCCCTGAGTAAGGGAAAGTTGTGCCTTTGGCATCTCAGTGTTCCTGTCTCTGTGACCAAGTGTGTGGTAAATCACCATGCAGTCTGTTCACTGAATCTAAGGTTTATACCTGGGAATAGGCTGATTTTTTGTTAAATTTTGTTTTGGCCCTGTGGCAATGTACTGCTAAAATTGCATTAGAGAGCCAGACAATATATTATTCAGATTTTTAAAAGGTACACATGGGATTTGTGGCATCATTGTCAGTTGCTCTTTTTTTCCTCTTTTTTAAATCATGTGTAAATTACTGTAATTATAGCAAACAGACCATTATTTCATTCATTTTTTTGCTTGTCAAATAAACAAATTACAAAGACAGAACAAAGCAATGGGATCATTTGGGGAAAATATTTTTTTCTGTTAAATTATTTAACAATTTCTACTTGTTTTCTAAACAGTTTTGAATTAGCTGCTTCTTAGAAGCTGTATCAAATGCCTGTGGGGTTTTTTTCTTTCCAGAGAGACAATAAAAATACTGTGGTAGCTAAGCCCAAACTCTGTGCTCTGACCACATCTGGTTAGGAGACAAACACAGATTTTACATTCTGGGCTATTAAAACAAAAAAAGTTTAAAAATTATGTATTTTTTGAAAAACTAAAATAGAGTCTTCTGTTGGTTCAGTCTTTTAATGTGGAAACTGGCCATGCTCTCCCCTGTTAAATATTGCATTTGACAGTTTCTGGAGCAGGACTTGGTGCCTAGGAATGGTTGGGTGTCACCATCCACAATATATGGGGCCAGAGACACTGACAGGGACTGGCAGGTAAGATGTAGGACCTAGGAGAGCCTTTCCAGAGCTTCAGTGGGTGACCCCAGGGGAGAGCACATCAAATAATGTAAAATGTCTGTGTCTGGGTACCTCAATCCCATGCTCAGGCGCTCACAGTGAGATTCAGAATCACACAACATAGAACCATAGGATATCCATAGTTGGAAGGGACCCACAAGGATAATCAAAGTCCAGCTCCTTGACTTTAAGGAGTCAAGCTGTGGCATCTGTGCTTTGGTGGCTGCAATGAGAGCTGTAGAGCCTGGAGATCCATTAGGTTTATCCTGAAGCACTCGGCTTCAGCACCCTGGGCCTTGTTGCCTACATTAACTCCATGGAAAAGGAATCTGGTAGCTGTCTTTATCTCCCACCATCAGTAACTCACATCCCCCCTGAGCTGGTGTGAGGATATTCATGTTACAGGTGATGGCAGGTCAGGTGCCCTGTGACCAGCAGCCAGGCTGCTCAGAGCAAGAGAGGTAATGTTATAGCAGGAACTTGTACTGTCCTTGGGCAATGAAAACTTTCTTAAATTACTGCATTAACTCAACAGTTACAACATAGACTGAAAAAAATCCCCTCTCAGCCTCTGTGAGCTGAAGCCTGAAGCTGATGAGGGTTAAGGTGGCTTCTCCATGGCATGTCAGAAAGAGCAGCATAGGGATAAAGCCAGTCTGGAGTTAAAGGCAGGCTCTTTCCCCAGTCTACAGCCCTGTGCAAGGGTAAGCATCCACCAGAGACCAAGACTCCTCCTTGCTGATGCTTCTTCAGAGCTGCTGGAGGAAGAGTCTCTTTATCAGCCAGCTAGTTGCCTCCTACATACTAAATTTGGTAGCTGAGGCCTTTAGGGCAATATGGGTCCATCAGTTTGGATTTTTCTTTCAACACCTTGGTAAATGGTGAAGCTGAATCAAGAAAAAGCCTGCTTAATTTTCTTGAATTGGTTTAAACCTGGAAGTCACATACATAGTAGATCACACACACAATCACAAGGTTGGAAGAGACCTCCAAGATCATCGAGTCCAACCCAGTCCTAACATCTCAACTAGAGCAAGGCACCAAGTGCCACATCCAGTCTTTTTTTAAACACATCCAAAGATGATAACTCCACCACCTCCCTGGGCAAACCATTCCAGTGCTATATCACCTTTTCTGTAAAGAACTTTTTCCTAATATCCAACCTTTATTTCCCTTGGCACAGCTTGAGACTGTGTCCTCTCGTTCTGTTAGTTGCTGCCTGGTGAAAGAGAACAACCCCCACCTGCCTACAACCACTTTTCAGGAACTTGTAGAGAGTGGTAAGGTCACCTTCTTTTCTCCAAACTAAACAACCCCAGCTCCCTCAGTTGTTTCTCTCAGGGTTTGTGTTCCCAGCCCCTCTCCAGCCTCATTGCCTCCCCTGGATGCACTCAAGAGTCCCAACATCCTTCCCGAACTGAGGGGCCAGAACTGGCCACAGCACTCAGGTGTGCCCTCACCAGTGCCCAGTACAGGGGAAAAATGAGCTCCCTGCTCCTGTTGGTCACATCATTCCTGATCCAGGCCAGGGGCCATTGGCCTTCTTGGCCACCAGGGCACAGGGCTGGCTCATGTTCAGTCGGCTGTTGACCAGTGTCAATACCTGTCTTCTGACTTGTGAAATGGGAATAATTGCTTAGAAAAGCATGAAGATGTCATGAAGAAGAGACTGCTTTTGGTAGTTGCTTTACAAATCAGATTTTTGTTTTAAGGGTTAATGTCTGAATACCTTGCAGGGCTTGCCTCCACAATATTGATGCTGGCAACATTGTTGAAGTTTGTCTCAACTGAGAATGAGACCGGCCTGCTGAGTCTCTAGGGGATTATGTGCTGAAAATGTAGGTTCCTTCTTGCTACTTTACATTTTGTGACATGAACTTCATGCAGAAAGCACAAGGGGACAATTAGGAGCATGAATCACACTCTCAGTATTCCTATCAGCATCAGAAAAAAGGATGTCCTGCAAGATGGAGCAGAGAAGAACCTGCCACTTTCATAAAGGAAAACACAGGGTCAAACTCCAGGTTTGAAAAAGTGCAGCAAGAGAACGGTGCCAAAAGCAACAGAAACTTCTTTCTGACCATAGCTTTGTCTCTGCATGACATGCTGTCTGAAAGACTCAGGTTTGGGTTTGGAGAGAAAAGCATGTTCAAACAGAAGGCAGCATATACAGCAATTTGGTTTATTTCACAGGACAGATGTATTTGACAATGTGTTCTTAGAGACACATTTTTCCCCTTAGCAGTGTGGGGGATGGTTTTCACCCAAGTCTGAAATTATTGTCAGTGCAATAACTTCTTCAGCACCTTCTTGATGGGAGTTGAGTCTTATTTTTACAGTTATTTGTGAGGCCTGTTGGAAAGCAACCTTCCTCTGCAAGTGAAAATCTCACTTTTCCTTGGCTGCTGTACTTGTGTCTGATATACAGATATTTCTAAGTTATTGCACCCATTCATGCTTATGAAAAATAATTAGACTCCCTCAAGTTCTGCTGAATCTTTTTCATGTAAAATCCATCCCTGAAGGTTTCAAGGCTAGGTTGGATGGGGACCTGAGTAATCTGGTCTAGTGGATGGCATCCCTACCCATGGCAAAGGGGTTGGAACTAGATGATATTTAAGGTCTCTTCCAACCCAAAGAATTCTTTGATTCTATCCCAGGAGCCTAAAATGCCTAAACAGCCTCACAGGCAAGTGATGTGGTTTTCTCTTACAGATACTGAAAATTTATCTGAAAGAAATCCAGGGCTAGATCTCAATATGATTATGATATTTGCACTCTGAATCCAAGTCAAGGGTGACATCTGATATATGGCAGACCTTAAAATGTGAATTTCAGGGAGAAAACCAATTGAAAAGCACTAGAATCTATAATGTAAGAAAGAGAACAAGAATCCCCAAATTCTCTTGCCAGCATCATCTGAATAGACAGCTACTACCACTCATCCCGCACCTGTGCAGCCATACACTCTGCTGGTGCTGGAACACAGGTTTCAACAAATTCAGGACCATCCTGGCCTGAGATGATCAGAACTGAGGAGGCTGGGAAAGCAAAGCTGATGTGCAAAACCTGACCACAAGACCTGACCTGGTAGACCCACTTAGACTACACCTCTAACACATTGTCTGCTACCTATAATGGCCTGTGGGCTGCTGTGCAGACCTCTCTCCTTAAGAAGTATTTGAAATGGCTGTTCTAAGCAGTTTTTAAGCTGAAAGGCTTAAGGATTAGAGGATGAAATAAAAGAGGTCAGCTTTCTCAGCCTGAGGCTTCAAACCCACAATTTTCTCCTTCCAGAAAAATGCCTTGCTCTCTACATCACATGCTGTGCTGAGTGGCTTGGGATAAAACTGGCATTTTACACATCTACAAAACCTTTGACAGCAAGGAATAAAAGCCTGCTTTTAAATATGCTAGAACAAGTGCAACACAAGAAAAATGGTATCTCCATGGTGTAGAGGTTCATACACTTAGCAGCAGTGAGGAGGACCTTCAGATTTCAAAACTGATCCTTTATTGTGTTTGCCAAATATTAAAGGCACAAACTGACCTGATGACAAGATATGTTCATGGTTCCCAGTCCACCAGTTCTTACTCTGTCTTCTTCTTGTGCAGTTTACTATGTTCTTGTCCCATTCACCATGTTCTTGTCCCATTTACCATGTGCCTTATCTACTCTGCCTTGCTTCTTCCATTGCAAGCCCAGTCAATGTGAATTCTCCAGGCAAAGGCAACCTTGATGCTTCCAGAAGGAGAGAGTTACACACAAGCAGAGATTTGAACACATCTGCTGCAAAGCAGAGGCAGTTTTCTGTCTGACCACTGCTCACTGGTTGCAGCTGGGAGAGG